AAAATAATTTCTTATGCATGTTCTCTTCTTAACCCTAAATTAATAAAAAAGAGTGGACCACCACCACTCATAAGAAATGAACAAACAGCTGAGTATGAATATTAAATTAAAGAAGAGAAAAGCAACTAAGGGAACGAAATGGGAATAGAGATTAAGAAACAGGAAAGCACATACCATATACACACATATAAGAATAAAGAAATAACTGAAAAGCCTTTCGACCAAAACCTAGCTAGTAATTAAACAAATTAATACAAAGAAGAATATGAGCATGCAGGCTGATGTAGTGGATCGTCTGAAGATGACACCTGCAAGAAGGATTTTAGGATTCTCAATCCAGAGAAGAAGAAGAAGAGAGCTTCACAAGCTCCAAAGGGATGTATATATCATTCAATATATGTTTCCTATTACAAACCCTCATATTTATAAAGCAAAAGATCATTCTAGAAGCTCATTCCTAACAAATTAGATAAGGTGTCCTAAGGAACCAACTTAGCTTAAGATGCACCGCATCATTCTCCCCTAGCGTAAAAAAAAGGCTCGACTCCGTCGAGATGCATTATTGAAAACGAGATTGTTGCAGAAGACAGATTCCCGGATCGAAGATTTTGTTCTCATCAATTGCATATTCCTCATATTCTGTTTGAGCTGATGTTCTTCCACGTAGTATTTCAAAATTAGTTCTTCCACAATTTTACTGAGGATTTTTGTAGTTGAGATCCAAGTGCTAAGGCATCCCACAGTTCTTGAATCCACTCAATTTGTATGCGCCAATGACAAAATCATGAATATCCTGGTTAGCGCGAGCACTCCCAACCAGAATAATTGGGCCATCATCTTCACGGCAAAATCCCTCAATTAGCTCATTGCAAGTTCTACTATCAGGATTTTGCTCATTAGCCTCCATTGAACTTACCAGCACAAAAGCATCATCCATAATTATCATGGGAGATTTACCTCCAAGCTCTAGAGTCACTGGTTTAAGGTTGCTTCTGGCAGCCATTTCCTGAACAAACTTTCCAGCAGAAATTGAGCCAGTAAAGACAAGCTTATCAACAACTTTTTAAAAAAGAATTATGAAAATAATAAATGGAACAAAGATGCATAGGACGACAAAATTCAAAGCCTACTTAACCAATAAATAAATAAGAATATATATAGTGAATGCACGCTTAAGCATTTACAAGTCATAATAGAAAATTAAATCGAAGGATGATAGATTTCAAAGTCGTGCAACGACCATCATCGGTCCACACGTGAAGCCTTTACGGTATATTTATATACATATATTCCTCATACGTACAGTTAAGCTTGAGAAGTTGGACAGAAGTGTATAATTTTTTCGCATTTTCGGATCCATCATTAATTTTCCTATGCCTTTTTCTTTTGCTTTTGGTTGCACCCCACCGCTCTGTCATGATTCATGATTCACGACCAGCTGCAGCACGTAGCAAGCTAGCTAGTAATGGATTAATCTCCTCTTTGGCTCTTTCAGTCTTTCTCTCTCTTGATCTCTAAGTAATGATTGACACGTGCGGCTCTTCTATTTCATGACCTCATCTGCCTGCTAGATATTAATTGATTGCATCTTGCTATCCTTTATCTCAATAAGCTATTTGAAGATCACCTTCATCAGATTAGCACTCAAAAGTGTTAGTTCCATTATATATGAACAAATTTACTGCTGCTATATATTTCCAAGAAGCTCCATCTGACGTTGTAAAAACTGAAAAGGGCGTCTTTGATATTTGTATTTAATTTTTGTTGCTAGAAATTTGTTATCTTAGAAGCTTTTCCAGATCGAATCACTCCTTGTATGGATCTGTATCCAACTATATATCACTCTTAATCTTCTTCAAAACTCTCTCTTCACATTTGAAATGTGATTTTTAATTACAATTATTGCATGCTATTTTTGTAACTAAATTGAAGACTAATTCTAAGATGTAGGATGAAAATGTCAGATGTGCTCCAAATAGTATCATTAATGCTATCATGTTTGGTTCCATGTTAGAAGTGAGGAAAGAGATCTATAGGAATTTAAGAAAATTAATTTATTATTTTTTAATAAGAAGGAAGGATGTATGCTCATATAGTCTAGATTAGATTAATCATGTATGAGAATCTGAATCTAATTAAAAAAATTACTTATTAAAAACTTGCTTATGACAAGGAACATTTCAAGCCTTGAGATGTCCAATGCCTCAAACATATAGCCTTGAACTATGTGTTAGAATATTATTATAGGATTGTTGGCTCGGCTTCTTATTGCAATCTGGTGATTGATTTTCGCAACCTGATCCGATGGCAAGTGAGGGAAATTTTTTCATCTTGCCTTCTCGTGGATTATGACCCGGCAAGATAGCCTTCCTATGCATGATTACTTAATTTATTGCTCGATTTTATTGGTTCCTGTCACTATTGAGTCTAATTTAAGCCCTGTTTAGCTTTTTGTTGATTTTTGGTGATCTTTTCTTATTCCTTTAGTTACAGCTCTTTTTTTGCATGTATATTCATTTTAGAGTTTTAGGGTTTAGAATTTTATGTAATTTCTTTTTTTAATATATGAGGATTGCCCTAAATTTTTCAAAAAAAGAAAAAAAAAAGAAAAAAACAATATGTTAGAATAGTTGCTTAAGTTATGCCCGAATTGCAAGAACCGGGTCAAAAAGCACAAGTAGGACTAAACAAGAGCATAGCCCCTGATTGCTAAAAAGATCGTCCAAGAAGTTGCTGAATATCAGTATTAATCATCAGCCTTCCAAAAAAACTTCTAGGCAACCGAACGAGGAAAAAAAAAATCTGAATATCATATAAAATTCCTCCCAAAACTGACAATAACAAATGCAGCTACCAGCTTTGAAACAATGGTCAAACCAAAGAAATTTGAATAGCGACCTGAGTCATCTTGGCTTTTTAGCCAATTTGTTAGTTTTTGACTTGTTGTTTTTGCTTGTTTTAGAGTCCTTAATCTCTTTTTGTTGTTTGGGATTTCAGACTTTTTTTTTTTTTTTCATGCTTCTTTTACTTGAAATTTCATTGATCAATGATACGGGCATTGCCTCAAAAATTTACAAAAAAAAAAATTCCCATAATGTTTAGCTGTAACAGCTGGATGTACAACAATCAGAATATTAATTAAATAATAATTAATTTTAATTAAAAAATATCGATGAATCTTGCCAACGGACCGGGCCCCACCACGACAGCCCACAAGCATAAACCGACGTGCTTTCTCCATATTATTTCACGATGTGAAAAGCCCAAAAATAGAAAGCATTAAAATTGTCGTGCAATGTGCCCACGGCGCAGCTCTCGATCCATCGAAGCAGGCCTATCGCACGTGCGGCATGCATCGTCTCTCCATCTAACGGTTCCGATTCCTCCATATCACCAACTATTACCGGTACGATCAAAATGATGGATTGGACGCAATGGTGGACTTTGTGTGCGAAACACTGTTTCGCCCCTACAGTGTTAGGAAATGGGCTCAAAAGCCTCCTGTTCGGGCTTCCCGAGGCCCAAAAAGAGTGACGAAATTTTGACGTGCCAAATTTTCTTAAGAAAAATATTTCCGAAATCCTGACGCCATAGTTCTTTATTTATTTATATAATATTTTGATTTTCAACTATATTTATAAATGTTATTTTTGTGGGAAATTTATTAATATTAACTTATTTTAAAAGCTTAATTTTCATGCGAATACATTAATATAGTTTAGAGTAATAAAAAAAATTCTGTAATATATTTAGATTTAATTTTTAATAATTATTTGAAAATAAAATTAATAATATGAGAAATTTTTAAAAACATTATTAAAATGTTTAGCTGCAATTTTTACATCATTTTAGATTTATTTTCTTAATTATTTATCATGATTTTAATTTTTAAATAAATATAATAATTTTAAGAGGTTCCAAATTATTATTATTTTTTATGACAAGGTTGACAGGCCATGCTATATTGCTATGCCTAGCGCCGCGTCCTTGTTGCAGCTGTCCGCTACCCATTAGCTCACTGTTTCACACTGTTGTCTCCGCTCCTAGAAAGACGTAACGCTTTCTCTTTCGTCTACAGTAAGTATTATTATTATTTTTAATTTGAGAGCCACTTTCATTTTATTAAAGTTACGGCTTATGTTATAATTATATTTTAAAACATTAATTTATTTATTTTTATTACGGTTAAACGCTCTCTTTATAAAGCTTTTTACATTGAAGGACGCATAGACTTACATGAATGGAAATAATATAAATGATGGAAAAATAATCAAAGAAGTGGAGGAAAGTGAAAAAAATTGAAATAATTTGATTTAAATTTACTTTAAAATACAGTATTTTTCTTGACTCATAAGAACAATCTCTTTTTTTTAGAAATTTAGGGATTTAATTAACATATCCTGAATTTATAATAATGAAATGAAAAAGTCTCATGAATAAAAAAATATATATTTTTGGAAATAAAGAAATTTTTTAAAAAAAATATAAGGGGAAAAATTTAAGTGGATGAGATATAATCTTTCATAATTTTTTTTGGTGATGAGAATAATTATTATATCATGCAGACACGGTTTTTATTTTGGAGTTAAGTTTTAATGATTTATGCATATAAATTTGCTAAGAAAATTAATTAAAGTTCTATTAAATATTATTGCTATTTATTTATAAGTAATAATGTAAATTCTAAATTTAATAACGTTGAAGCATTTTGACTTTGAATAAAATATATTTTCCCTAAGCGGGCACTCTACCCGGCAGTGAGAGCGTGATCGCTAGCTTTTGCTTTGATTGGTTTTTTTCCCTTATTAATTAAAGCATTTAATGGGCTTAGGCCCCAATTTTTCCCAAAAAAAAAAAATTAAAGCATTTAAGCATATAATAATTATAGATAACGTATTTCTCACTCTCACATCCCTCTGCCGTCCCATCCTCTCGTCTCGTCCCCCTGCTTCGCTTCTCTCGTCGCTTATTTCCACATTCGAAGTGGCAAAAAGTCTCTCTCTCTCTCTCTCTCTCGTGCAAGAACGAACGGGTTTTATTTATTAATCACCGACAAGAACATGAGATGCAGATGAATCTGCAACGACTCGCCGGAAACAATACCGAGGCACATTCGATCATCATGGAGGCGGAGTCCCATCGTCCGCAGCCCGCGATCAACTGCCACCGCCTACTTTCCAACTGCATCCGCCATCCAGATGAGCAAGTCACTGGCTTTTGTGCATCCTGCCTCCGCGAACGTCTGGCTGGCCTTGACAATGCAAATGCCCGCCGCCACTCCACCTCCTCTGCTTCCTCCTCCGCCGCCCTCAAAACTAACTTCTTTCGCCCCGCCATTGGCGTAAATGGGCGTCCTTCTTCGTATTCTCAACGCCAAAACGGCCGCAACAAGAACTACGCGGCCTCCTCTCTCCGACCGGAGCTTCGTCGCTGCAAATCTTTCGCCGGCGGTCCACGAACCGCCGCGGTGGCCGAGCCGGAACGCAAGTCATGTGATGTCCGCGTCCGGAGCTCTCTCTCGTCCTTATTTCACCAGGAAGACCGAGATAGGATCGTCCAAGGTGGCCAGAAATTCCCCATTTCATCGTCCACCGTCGCAGCCGACGTCTTGGCGGCCGGCGACATTGAGGTTGATGCGAACTCGGTCCTCATACTGGAGACTTCAAAATGCGAAATGGAAGATGCTAGGCCAATGAAGGACCACATAGATCTAGATTCTTACTCCCAAACCAAGAAAATCCCTACCAGGGACATCAAAGAGATCGCTGGAAGCTTCTGGCTCGCGGCCTCAATCTTCAGTAAAAAGCTCCAGAAATGGCGGAGGAAACATAAGCCGAATAAAAGCGCCGCCGGCGAAAATGGCATAAGCAAGCCCTCGATTTTACAAACGGAGGGTGAGAAAATTCGCATATCTTCCCGCCGGTTCAGAGACACCCAGTCGGAGATCGCCGTCGATGCTTTTGGCCGCCGCTCTTGCGATATCGCTCCAAGGTTCTCTCTTGACGCTGGTCGCATCTCCTTCGACGACCAGAGATGCTCAGTGGACGGGCCCAGGGCTTCTTGGGATGGTTGTCTCGTTAACAGTGATCGATCCTTGCCTTCTAGGCTTCCGGCGAAGCTCGCCGTAGTTGAAGACTCCGTCCAGCGTACCGACGGCCTCATCCCTGTGGAAGAAGATACAAAGACGCCTGGCTGCTCAGCGCAGACACGGGATTACTATTCCGACTCCTCCAGTCGCAGAAGGCGTAGCCTTGATCGCTCTAGCTCATCGCGAAGACACTCGGTTGTGCTCTGCGACACAAAACCAGCCATCAATGCCAATATTCCCGAGCTCTTTCATTGGAGCAAACTGGAGCGGGAGCCCAAGATTTGGGGCTCCAATTCCTCGAGAGAAAATTGCTCCGGAAGCTTTGATTCCACTTTCAGGGATCCATGTGATAGCAATCCGATGAAAAAGTCCCGCCTTTGGAGCATTTGGGGGTTTATCCATCGGCGTGATGGGAGCAGGGCAGGAGGATCCCAAGTAATGGAGAGATCCTTCTCTGAGACTTGGCCGGAGCTCAGAGCAACAGAGAGTATTCAAAGGAGCAGTAGTAGCGTGAGCGCAAGGAGATCTTTTTCCGCCAATGGCGGGCTCACAAGCGCACTGAAGAGCGGCTTGGACACCACTTGTCAGAAAAAGAAAAAGAAGAAGGAGAAGAAGAAGAAGAAGAAGAGCAATGACTTTGTTTTTGATAAGAGCCGGAGTGCGAGGTATTCTCCGAACCATTTCGACCATGGATTGCTTAGGTTTTACTTGACGCCTACGAGAGGTAGCTGGAGAAGCGGAATGCTGACAAAGAGCAAGTTCAGCAGTCCTCGATCCTTCACAAGTAGCTTACTTAGATTGTATTGAAACATGAATTGTCTTACTTCAGGTTCATGCCCTTCTTGTCGTTCTTATATTGATAGTATTTTTATCCATGAATGTGAAGGGATAAAGAAAAAATTTCACAGTTTGGCCATTTCTGTGCATCTCTTTCTGATATTTCAGGATCTATCTACTTACCGCTTTCAGAGGTTTCGCCCCTGCTGTTTAGGATGTCGGCAGTCATGCCAAATTAGCTGGCTCTCAGCCGAATTAGCCAAACCTATTTTCGACATCTCAAAATTTTTTTTTTATGGGGAATCTTCTTTCCTACCCAGCTGCTGTTATTCTGGAATTTTATAAATATTACAACTGACTTTTTTTTTTTCTATTTTTTGACTCGCCAATTTCAGCTCCACTAATCTGTTAGATTTTCATGGAAAAAAAATAAAGAGAAGAGTCTCTTGTTTAGATAAACTAGAATGCCAGAATTGAATATACAAGTTGGCCTAATTTCGTAGTATTCATTTTTAGCGGTCTAACAGTCGACGAAGCTTTCTCCGATTAAGGTACACAGCGTTATCTTTAGGTTCCCAAAAACGTAAACAAGTTATTACTACGACCTCTCATGTCCAGCTCATAAATAGAGAAAATCTTTGTCTGTATATCCTGTTCTAAATTCGGTAAGATTTGGTTTTCTAGCTGTTGTTTATTCATGAGATTTTCAGTTCAAAATATTCAGATGTGATGTTGGGTCAATTTGTTGAATGATTCAAATGTCTAAAAAAAAATGAGACCTTGAAATGTAATGTCGAAGGAGAAGAGCATCTGTAAAAGAAGTGAAAGCCCCCTTGCGGCATTATAAATTGGGCCCCTGATCTTCTGCCGCCTACTCACGCCATTGCAATCAGTCTGGTCCTACTGGATCAGCAGAGAGCTCTGGTGCTGGCTAGTAGCTTGCTTCTGCTTTTTGTTATCCTTGAATGCTCATTAAACCTTCTGGCCCACAACAAAACAAGCACACACAGGGTATACAAGCTTTAAGAATACCAAGGACAGCAAGCAGAATCCTCAATTCATTAAGAGCTTCGTCAGAACTGCTTATGTCGCTTTTAAAGAATCACTAAAGAGCTCCAAATACGGTATGATGGACGCTGGATCTGTGCCATACAGAACGGACGGGGGCTATTAAGTTTTCATATTATTTTCAAGTGTTTTAGTCCTTGACTTTAAGATGTACAGTTCAAAGTAGCACAAAACTTGGCAAACAATGACATGAACGATTGAACTTTGACCAAGTGATTCCTCTTCGAAAAAAGGTCGAAACTTTGTATTCCAATTTTCTGCTTTCAATTCTATGCAGTATTGAATGCTGGTTTTCTTCTCTGCATCTTTCACAACAGAAGAGGACATGGAGATTTAGTAAAATAATTTAATTAGGATATTCTAATCAAGATTTTAATCAAATTATAATTTTTCTTACTGCTTTCTTCTAAAGCAATATAAAAATTTTCAGTTCAATAAAATTTCGGACTTAAAAATTGTTTTAGAAAATAATAAAGAAACTGTGGTAAATGAAACCTAAATATTTAAACAGTTGGTTGAATTTATTTTTTAAATTATTGCAATTGAATACTTTTACACTGAGCCCATGTAAAAAAAATTCAAAAAATCTATCCCAATTCCCAACTTAAATATTTTTCCTTCATGCTAGTGGTGAAAACATTAAGGTAAAATAACGGGAGATTTGCATACATATCAGAATACTTTTATTTATTTGTATATTTAATACTTTTAATCTATGATTTTATATAGAGAAATTTAAATATTAAATATTAGATATATAAATATATAAAAATTTAGCGGTATATATGTAATTCTATCAACAATATACACATAATATGTGAGTTTTAATTTTAATTTTTTTTAGAAAAATTTACATATATACCACTTTATAATATCTTATTTATATATCTAACATTTAAAATTTTCATATTACATGCATACCATTTTATATTATTTTAATATTAAATATACCAATTATATTTATATATTTTATTTATACCCAAAACTTTATTTTTAATCTAGTAGGATGAAAACTGAAGGTTATGCCGCTAAATCTGAAAGACAAAAAATTAATTAGGCCGAGAAGAACAGAAGTTTATATGCTTGAATTGGGCTGGGCTTTATGAGAATTTTAACACGCAACTCGAGGCTTTCTTATTTTCGGGTTTCTGCAATATGTAAAAAAACAGGTAAAAGATCAGTTAGGTCGAGAAATCGAAGATGGACAAAGCAAGAGAAGCCTTGACCGTGGGAGAAGAGGACTCGCGTGTTCTCACTAAGCTGGAAGTTCGCCCCCACCGCGCCGGTGATGACGCCAGTTTCTACGAAGGTTTCGCTCTCCGAGGACTACGTGTCGAAACCATCAGTCCAGGCTACCTCTCCTGCTCCTTCAAAGTTCCTCCTCGCCTCACCGTGAGTTACTGTTATCACGGACATAGAAAACCCCCCTCGTCTTTTGTGTTTCAGCCTAGTTATTCCTCCCTTTCGTCCCCGGCCTTTTCGTAACCCTAAACCTCATGATGCTATTAGTATATAAATCCCGATTGGATGCAGGACAGGAATGGGAACATGTCGTTAGGGGCTATCGCTAATTTGGTTGATGAGGTGGGAGGGGCAGCCATGCATGCTGACGGCCATCACATGAAGGTCTCTGTCGACATATCCATCTCTTTTCTCGCCAACGCTAAGCTTCATGTCGGTAATATGAGTCCACCTTCCTTAAACTTTTACTCTTTTTAATATTTGCTTTTCTTTATAAGTATGCAACTATTACACTATGATTTGGAGTTAGAATTCAAAATTAGGGTGAAAAGAAAGGAATTCGAAATAAAAGTGGATTGCTTTTTTAAATTTTAGTTTAATGGCTCATTTGGTTGACTATAGATGAAAAGTGATGTGGGAAATTTATCATTAGATCGTTAGAAGAAGAACTTTTTGGAAGATTTGTTTTTGCTCTTGTGTGTACTAATATTTCAGGAAAATCAAACTCCAGACTACGAAGACTTCAAATCAAATTCAGCATGAGATACTTTATGAAATTGAAGCTTGTACTTTTATTTGAATTAAATTTGAGAGGGAGTGATTGTAATTGAGTGAATAAATTTACACAAACTTAAAGGAGATCTTGAAAAAGTTTTTGTATTGATCGTACGGGACGAACATTGTTCGTACGGGACGATCAGATCAGTTATCTCCTTGTAAGAGCAATGGAACGGACAAGAACTGAACTGGAAATATTTTCTAAGTCCTAATCGTCCAGACGAAATCATTTTCGTCCCAAGACGAGTTTCTTTCTGCAAAAATTTCGTCCAGACGAAGTCCAGTTCGTCCAGGACGATGGGAACCGACTATGGCAGTTTCTGGCAGTTTTCGGAACCGACTTTTGATATAACTGTTCGTCCAGACGAAATATTTTCGTCCCGGGACGAACCAATTTCATCCAGGACGGAATTGGTTCGTACAGATGAACAAAATTTCGTACGGGACGATCCAGTGCGCAGAAAAACTTGTTTTGGGCAGTTTTTTGGACGTTTTTTCTTCTCCTTTCTATATAAGGAGTCCTAGAAACTATTACAAATGCCTTTGGAGTTGTTTTCTCTTGAGAGGGATCATTGAGAGGGAGAAGATCCTTGGAGGGGATTTCAAGGGAGTGTGGAGGGGATATTCACACGGTTGCTCCGGCGAAGGCTCTCAAGTGAAGTTCAACAACATTGGTCCGGTTCTCTGCCGACACTTGGAGAAGTGTAAAAGGACGACAAAGTGTATCTTTGACAGTCATTGTGTCTTCGTTCTTGTGGAGAAAACTTGAAGAGAGAACTTGAAAGGGAGAGAGGAAAGGGTGGAGTTTGAGAGGGAGAAGATCCTTGAAGGGGATTTCAAGGGAGTGTGAAGGGGATATTCACACAGTTGCTCCGGCGAACTTGCACCTCATTACCATCGGATTCAAGGGTCGTCTTGAGGGAAGTTTTGACAAGAAGAAGATCTCTTTGGTGTTAAAGAACCCGGCTACTCCGCCGCACCGGGGAAGGTGAAAGTGATTTTGTACAGGCTTCTCCGCCTTGCTGTGGGAGCAAAAGGAGAGTCACTTTGTGGTATTAGTGCAATACTCAGAGGGTGCCTCTGGAGAGTGGATGTAGGTCTGGTTATAGACCGAACCACTATAAATCTGGTGTGTTCTTTCTTATTTTTTATTCCGCATTTAATTTCATTGCAGGTTGTTTACTCTGGTTGAAAAGTTTATTTTAAACTTTAATTTTAACTTGCATCAATAATTCAAAAGGTTTTCTAAAATTCCAAGAGTTGAAGTTACATTTTTTAAATTGCCAATTCACCCCCCTTCTTGGTTAGCCTTGGGACATTCACTTAGGCTTAACATCCTAATTACTAGATCCAACAGTCTTAGATGGTTTGGTCACATAAAACGGCGACCTTCCGTTGACCCGGTTAGGAGAGTAGAGGTATTAGATTTGACTTATGTTAAGAAAGGTAGGGCTAGACATAAAAATACTTGGTTAGAAAATATTATAAATGACCTTTCTTTATTAGATTTAAATGAGAATTTAACTTTTAATAGGACTCAATGGAGAAAAAGGATTCATGTAGCCGACCCCACGTAGTGGGATAAAGGCTTGATGTTGTTGTTGTTGTTGTTTGAAGAACCCGTCTCCAGAATCTGAACTAGAGGAAGTATGCCTAGTTCAGGGAAATGATTCTTTGTAGGTACTTGAACCATAGCATTCCAAAAGATGGCAACCCTTTGTGACATTTCATCAAACAGCTTGCGAGCTGATTTCATAATTGCGTCGAAGGGGCGTGACTTTAGACCGCGGGGCGCCTTGATAGTGTTCCCATGCATCGAGTCGCTGAACCAGGTGAAATTGGCCCCGCGTCGCGGACATATCTGATTAGATAAGGCAGCTTCACCCTCATATTTTTAGCTCCCATCCTTATAATTATAGTTATCCTCCTTAGCTTTTTTCGGGGTTCAGGATCTCAATAAACTTCACAAGCTGATTCGGGTCCATCTTATCACTAACCTTAATGCCAAGAGGATTGGCAATACCATGAAGGAACTCCACTTGGGCACCATCGAGATGGCGGGTGCGCTCGCTGACCCAGAGCATGTGAGCAGAATAGTCATAGTACAGGCCTAAGGTGGAGTTCTTGTGGGTGAGGGACTGCTCGTACGTGAGGAGAAGGCCTTATCCACTCGATGGGCCCAGCAGCCGACATGAAGCCAAGGGCCAACATGAAGCCAAGGGCCATGTGAGGTCCAAAACTCTGTCTTGGTCATAATGGGATGATCCATCGTAAGCCCAGCAACCGACATGAAGCCAAGGGCCTTATCCACTCGATGGGCCAACTCCTTCTAACTGTCTCCCTGCTCGCTAAAATCGAGGTTCCACAATGTGATTCTCGGCATAACGATGTAGCCTCTGGTGGCGAAAGCACGGAGGAGATTCAATATTGTCGCAGACTGGAAGTAAGCTCTGATCATCTTGTGCAGATATGAGGGCGGAAGAGACCTTGCGAATCGCTCTTCCTCGACAATGTTAATATCAGTGGTCGGTTCTTCCAGTTCCACGACAACTTTGGGATTATACTGGAGTGGATCAGGATCAGCAGAGTCGTGCTAGATGGGCTCGGAACGAGCTGCGACTCGGAACTCTGAGCGTGCGGGCATAGTTGATCGAAAAATCTGGTGTTGGAGTGGAGATGGTGAAGGTGGATTGATGGGTTCTTGAGTCGATGGCACGTGTGGTCGGGACGTTGCAGTAGGAGTCAGTTGAGAAGGGAAAAATTGGTGGTGAAACTGGCGGCAAAAAAAGTTCTTTAATGAAATAATTAATTAATATTTATACATTATTTTTTAAAATTATGAATTATTAAAATTATAAAATTTTAACATTTTATTAATTGCTAGGATCAGTATAAATTAAAAATGCAATGCAAAAAATACATATTAATTAATTATATTTGAATATAAAAATAAATGCAATTAAAATCTTTAGCATTCTAACAATTAGCTCTTACTTAAATGCAATTAAAACGTCATGCATTTAATTAAATAAATGAAGTTGAAAAAATATATTAAATGTATAAATAAAATGAATGATTTAGATTCATCTTTGATAAATAAAATGAAAGGCTATGATTGTAGTATAGATATATAGTAGAATAGATATAGATTTAAGCGGCATTAATTTGCGATAATGGCCATTAATTTGTATTATATATTTTTAGATTATTAATTATTTATAATAGAATGAAGGGATAAGATAATTTTTGAAGAAATAAAATTGATGATGGCCAAAATTTGATGTGGAAGGAAATTCAAGCTGCTTTATAATAGTGGTATATATTTGCAATATTTTTTATCTGCAACTATGTAAAGCACAGTAGTGGGAGCTAGGGGTGCAACCGAGTCAAGCCGACTGGCGAGCCGGTTCGGCCTTGACTCAGTAACAGGCTGGACGAGTCGAGCTTACCGAGCTCGAACACAATTTTCGAGCTTGAAAGCTTATCGAGCTCGAGCTCAAACATGCCTCAGACTTGACTCGTCGGCTCGATGAGCAACTCGATTGGGCGGGAACGAGTTCGGGATGACGACGAACGTACGTGCTCGGGATGAAGATGGACATGTTCGACACGACGGATCTTGACGGCAGAGCCTTGGGACGATGGTGAACGAGCTCGGGCAGACGGATATCGACGACGGAGCTCGGGATGACGACGAACGAACTTGGGCGGACGTATCTCGACGACAGAGCTTGGGACGACGAAGAACGAGCTTGGGTGGACGTATCTCGACGGCGGAGCTCGATGCGACGACGAACGAGCTTGTGACGATGAATCTCGACAGCGAACAAGACGACGATAGATCTCGGGACGACAGCGGATGCGACGACGACAGACTTTGGCACGACAACAGACACGATGACATATTGAGCTCGGATTGAGCTCGACGAGCCCCTCAACATGGGACGAGTCGAGTTCGAGCTCAGCTTTTGAGCTCGACTCGAGTTCGAGCTTGAGCTCGGTATCTGATAGTCGAGCTCGACTCGAACAACACCTGGCTCGAGCTCGACTCGACTGGTTTGCACCCCTAGTGGGAGCCAAAGGGAGCTTCTTTTGGCATTTTTTTTTATACCCTTCTAACTCTTCTTGAGATTAATAAGTGTAACTCTAAGATTCTTGCACATTGAACTTATTTCACAAAATCAAACGATTTAAATCTTTTATTGTTGTTTCGTTGTGTTTCTTGCTCGTTCTTATTCATAAGTCACAAAATTTCCCAGCTCTGTCCTCTGAACGTATTGTAATTCCTACCTGTTCTTCCAGATTGTCAGAAATCTACTCTGTTCACACCCCAAAAAAATGCTCTATCATAAATTTACTTAAATTTCTTTTTTATTATAAACTTTTTCCCCTTTTTTTTCATTGCTTTCCACGTTTTCATAAAAATTAGAATTTAATAATTAAGAAATTAAACTATACAGGAATGGAAGGCCGAAACAGGAAAGCTAATGGAACAATGAAAAAAAATTAAAGGATTTTAAGGTACTAAGAAACATTAAATAAAGGAAGGTTAATTTTTCAACGTTCACTTATTTTTTTCTTGTAGGGTGGAAGGCAATGCAGAAATAAAACTTTTAAAAGAATTTACGAAAGATTGTGTTGGGGAAGTAAACCATGCAACAAACACAAACAAAAAAGAAAAAAATGCAGCAAAAAGAAATAACACCAGGATTTAACGTGGAAAAAATCTGAAATTAGGAAAATCACTGACCCACAGCACACCAAGAAATTTACTATGAAAAATTGGGAGAAATAGTACAGATCACTCTTCTCTCTTGCTCCTTATCTCTATTCTCTCTTGCACTGTTCTCTATGAACAAACAAAGTGAAAACATACAAAAACAACCAAGGGACGCAACCCTTAATGAAAAATGAGAAAGAGGGCTATCAGTATGTCTCGCAGCATCGCTTCGTTCAACTCTCTTTTTGTTGTCTTTCTCATAGCATCATAGTGCTGGGGTCTGGAGCACCGCAGCACTAGGGTACACAGCGCCGCAGCGCTATACGGTTGTATGAGAAAAAATTCCTGGTGCAAAGCACCTGAACCCCAAGCCGGGGGAGGACTTCCTGCAACCCCCGTTGAGTTTGGCCGATGGAATTGAGATCCGAGGCAATAGTATAACACGATTGATCGACACAATCAGATTCCACATAGAACTAACATTAAGTAGATTTACGATTGATGTTTGTATGGTGAAAGAAATTTTAGTGTATGGAAAATAGCGTTGAAACTGATGAGTAATGAATAATCATAATGGAAGGTGATGTAATATTGTAATGAATCTTTAATCACATCATGGGTGATCAATTTTTTGATAAACGGCACATGATTAGATATGAAAAATGGGTGGATTCTATTAATAGCCAAGAGAGAGTTTACCATTCATTTAAAAGGATAGTTATTTTTCCTAATAGATATTTCAAGATTAAATTTTGAATGAATAAAATTAAAGGAAACTTTTGAGCATTTTTTACCCTGTCAATGATTTTAGTTAGTTTAAATATTGGTTATTCAAATTTTTGTAATGGATGGTAAAAGATGTGAGAGTATATGTCCTTCTAAATGGATAGTAATCTCCCATCTCTCTCTCTCTCTCTCTCTCTCTCTCTCTCTCTCTTCACATATCATTGATCATCCTTAAATTTTTTTCATGCTTAATAAATGATTAAATCATCAGGAGAATTATTGAAATTTATGAAAGTCAATCCCTTGTAATTCTGTTATCGTATATTATAATCAATTTGTGCTCTTGATTTTCAAAATTATATAAAATTTTAGGAAAATGAATAAATTGAGAGGAGAATAAATAAATTCTTAAGCCTTTTTTGTTTACGTTTTTCTTACTTCTCTCAGTTCTTAATCATGGTGGCAGTATAATCCATGTTTATTAAAAAAGTGATAAACTGGTAATCAAAGAAAGAACTTATTTGTAAAGATGAAAAACAGGATGAACTGGAAATAACTTCCAGGGTCCTGGGACACAGAGGCAGCTACTACACTGGAACATACGTGCTCCTGAGAAACAAAACCAGCGGGGAAGTTATCGCTGAAGGTCGACACTCATTGTTTGGCAATCTTAGAAGCAAGATTTGATCTCGCTCTTTTGCTGACTTTTATTTTAACAAAATGTATGAGGGAATAAAGTTCTTCCTGAATCTTGATAACTGTTTGTGTACTGTTATGTTTCATGGAGTCTTCAAGCTCCAACATCACACATAACAAACAGAGGATTATAATTCTAGCTTCAGGGAAAGACGATTTAGGTGCAGAAAATGTTTTTCGATGCATTGGCTTTTTGAACTTCCTGGGTGTCTCTTTCTTTTTGTTGGTCTTAATGCTTGATGATTAGTGTTTTATGCCCCTTGTGTTGACACCATGCTCTTTGGAAATTGGGTTGTTATATAGCTACAGGACCCCTTTTGCTTGCTGGAAGTGGCTTGAGTTGAATGAATTGGTTTAACTTTCTCCTGGTTTTTTTCCTTTTCTACCAATGTCAGATGACAATTCCTTGGCAACCCTTTATTGATGCGGATGCTATAACTTGCATTACTCCATTTGAAGATTTTATTCTTTAATGAATTTGCGAGTTCATTGGCTCCTTCATTTTTGAAGTTTTTCTCCCTTGGACAGTGGAGAAATTATTCTGTCCGGACATCGGACGGTCTGATGATTAAATCAGAATGCGCCACGTCACCCGGTATTGAGCGGTATTAATCACCGTTACCGAATAAAAAAGTGATAGGGCACATTCTGATTCTGATTGGTCCGCATAGAATAATTTTTCTGGACGACGATAACTTCCACTTCCCTTAAATGAATGAGTCTGGGATGGCTGCAGTTGTATTTCAAATTGGCTGTGAAATTCAACTTGTTTTGTGAACAGCTGTTTTAAAAATTGTTACGAGTGTTCTGAAATTTACCCTTCATAAAAGTTAGTCAACAGCTTTTCAATAACTCATATTTTAACTGATTTGATTATGATTTTTTTTATCACTTAAATTTTTAAAACATTGTAAAATTGGGTAGCGTCCCAAATTTTATGTGATTAATAACCCAATCGGATAACTCGACCCAAATCCGACTAAAAAAAAATCTGAGCTTAGGTTGGCCCACTTAAATTGATTTTGATCGTATTAATTCTCGGTTCAGATTTGGGTTTACTTGAAAATTAAAAAAAGGACTTGATTAGCATTTGGTTTTGGGCTATAATGCAAAGATATGGACACGGCGACGTAAACATGGCATGACAGGGACAACAAAATTATCAATCATTAAAAATATAGGATGCAGATACAGTTTGGACATGATATTATAATTTTTATATATTAAAAAGTATAGAAATTGAATAAGTTGAATATTAAAAATAATTGAGAAATAACATGCAATTTAATAAGAGTTTATGTTTAAAATGATTAATATTAGGATGTTGAGAGTTGGGTATGTATGTCATTTCAGGCATTAAGAGGGGAGATGCCAATGTTGTCGAGAGTAGGGTATCTATGTTATGCAATGTGCATTGGACATTGTTATCAAGACAACATCGGCCCTCAATGTTGAGATGACGTTGATTGTCAATGTTGAGATGAAGTTGGACAAATATGAGATATAAGGGTGACACAGGGCATGATTGTGGGTGTGAAAATTATTGACATCGTGCATCAATGTTAAGATAATATCATATTTCAATAATAAGATAGTTTTAAAACATTGATATGGTGATGGTGCGAACATATGGCATTGTGCATTCTTTATGAAACGTTAACTTGTAACTCACCAGAGAAATGAATATGAGAATGTTTGAGAAATGGGATATTAATCACAAACGATTGATTTAGAGTTTTGGAGATAAAATAAGAAATTTGGTTTTTTATTTTTTAAATAAATAAAAATTTGAAGCATAATAAGTTATATTTAAAAAAATTATAAAATATTTAAAACAAGCATTTCAAATATATGTTGGATGCATGTTGTGTCAAATGTGTGTTGGATATTGCTTATTTTTTCAAGGAGATTTGTCGATGCATCATAGGGTTTGGGTTAAATTGGTTGGGTTCAATTTAAATGGTCATTTTCGAATTAAACAAGTCATTTTTTTGGGTTAAAAGAGTTATGTTGATCTTAAAAAAATGTAGGATTTATATGATCAATGAATTTAATGGTCATATTCAAGTTAGTCGAGTTTGAGTCAAATATTTTGACACATAATAAATGGGTTGAATTTGAGTTGAGCTTATTTGGGTTAAGTAAATCTTGGGTTGGACCCAAAACCAACCTGCCAACCACCTCACAAAGACAAAATGTGAAGGTCAAATTTATAGTTGCACAACATAAAACATGATAAAAGAGCTATCATAACTTAAAATGTGGGAAAAAAAAGGATTGATATGTCTCCAGAAAATTTTCTTCATCAACATGAATCTCAATATAATATTTGAATTGAAAACTTTCATAAGACTTTCTAAACTCATATTTTAATAAGCTTATATTTGAACTGAATGTCTCGATAGGACAAAGTCATTACCACCATAAGTAATTTGATATAAATTCAAATGAACATAAATCAAGCACATAAAATATATTTAAAATTTTTGAAACATTAATTGAAGGATAAAATGATCTCCAAATATTGACACGCTTGTAGTCATATTGAGTGGATTGATGGGATGAATCCAACAAATCCAAAATTATCCAATTCTTAAATTATTAATGAACTTAGATGTTGGATAATAGATTCATGTTTGAGGAGATTAATATAGGTTATTTGATTGAGTGTTTTGAATTCTAATCAAACTTACCAAAAAACCTCTTTAAAAAAAGTTATAAATAGGATCTCTTTTTTTTTCTCTCTATTGTATTTTTCGGCAATCGCTCTCAAGGACCACAATTAGCAAGCACTATCATCATCACCTGATTTCCATCATCCAACTATTATATGCTGCCTAACATCTCACTCTATTATTAGATTTTAACTATCATTCTTTGAACACAAGACTTATGTAGCCCCTACAATGAAAATCTATTATATCATCTTCTTCAATTGTGAAGTAGATTGGAATCATATATTTATAAATATAAAACTAACTATTGCAACTAAGTCAGGCTCATTATATTTTCCTTTTTTTAGTTTTTCATATAAAAATTATGGTGTTTATTACAAACTTTATCTTTTTGTGTTAAATCTTTACACATATCTAATATATTAAACACCACCTCCATAAACTTTTAGAACAAAATAGTTTAACACCGTCTATAAGAATAGGGGTGGATCTACAGTAGAGGCATTGGGGGCACGGCCCCCACAAGCCCAATAATTAAAATCAGACCATCTTAAACTATACTAATAAAATTATTAATATATAAGATTAAATTTGATTTTTAAAACCATTCAGTTTCGGCTTCGCCTCCGCTTCCGCCTTTATCCCTGGTTCCTCTCTACTAGGGACGCCACCTTCTCCTTCTTTAGGGCTTTCGTATGCAGATACTATCGCTCCGTCTTCTTCCACTCCAGTTGCTTTCAAGGTCGCCTACTATCCTCCAAAGCCCAAGCTCTCTTTTGCGGCTGATGATCTCTCTGAGGGCTCTTCGCTCTGGACTTTCTCTCTGGTCGGGTATGCTATCGGGCAACGACCTTTTTACGAGCAACTTCTTGCCGCCATGAACAAGGTTTGGCCTCTCAAAGGTGCGATTTCCCTATTATCCCTTGTTGATGGCTTTTTCCTCATCAAGTTCGCAACTCAAGAAGATTACGATGCTGTTTGGTCGGGTGGTTTCTACTTGGGAAACCATTCATTCTTCAGAAATGGTCTCCCAAGTTCAAACCACGTCGTGACGAAAACGCCTTGATCCCTCTATGGATAAAATTGTTGATTTCCCGCTTGCTCTTTGGACCCCGACTGGTATTTCTAAAGTTGCAAGCTACATCGGTATTCCTCTGTCGGTTGATGCATTAACGACTAAGCGAACTCGTCTCACTTTTGCTCGGGTCTGTGTGCAAATCTCAAAGGATTCTCCTCTTCCTGATTCTATTCCTTTGGAGATTGATGGGGAAGATATGATTTTAAAGGTTGTTTACGATTGGAAGCCGACTTCATGTGAAGGTTGTCGTTCTCTTATACATCCCTTTTCCCTCTGTTCAAAAAATCCTAATCCTTCCTCTGCTCTTGTTTTACCTCCTAGGCCTCACGGGAGGAGTACCAGTCGCCCTCCTAGACCTAATACTAGGAACCCTTCTAAAACCCCTCCTATCTCTGTTGCTACCGAAAACCCCTTATTACCTTCCCCTATGTCGATTGTTGAACCTCCAGTTAGCTCTGTTGTCATCCCCATTCCCCCTGCAGCCCCACCCAAACCTCCGGTTCTTCAGGAAGTCAAGGCTGTTGCTCCTTCTACTCTGAATTTAATTCATAGTGATCCTCACCTTCCTCTCCTCTTACCTCCAGGAAATGCTAACCTTATTCCTAACCTAAACTCTCCCAATGCTGAAGACCACTCTGAAGCCTCTTCATCCACTTCCAGTCCACTTGAAGTCCATCATCACACTTCTTCATCTCTCCCTTCTTCCTCTAATCTCCCTACATCCAACAAATTTAAGGCGTTAATTGTTGAGGACTCTCCCATTATTGACGTCCCTAATTTGCAGACCCTATCAGTAACATCCCTTCTCCCTCTAGCTCCACTTCCAAAGTCTCTTCCCATTCTCCTCCCAAATCTTCTTCCAAACCCTCTCCTCCCTCTAAAAACACTAGAGGGAAATCCAACAAAAAAGCCAAATCTTCTAAATCTAAATCCTAATGTCTTACCCAAAACTTGCTTGTTGGAACATAAGGGGGTTTAATAAACCCGACAAGGTTCTTGTTTGCAGGGATTTAGTTCGTCTGCATAACTTGAAGTTTTTTTGTCTTTTGGAAGCAAAAGTACATTCCTCTTCTGTTGATGATGACTGGTTCATTCATTCTCACCGGATTTTTGATAATGAGATGCACTGTCATAATTTTGGTTTCTCCATTTTGGGTCGTATTTGGATCAAATGGGACCCTACCCACATCTCTTTCTCCCCCTATTTTATCTCCTCTCAGTTGATTCATGGCATTATCTCTGTGGGGTCTTTACCACCTTTTCAACTCTCCATTATCTACGCTGCTAATACTTTTGAAGAACAGACCTCTTTATGGACTAAGATCAGAGAGCTTACTCCCTCCTCTCCTCTCCCGTGGATGGTTATGGGGGATTTGAATTGTTATAGATTTCCTAATGAGAAGGCGGGTGGTACCCCTGCCTCTGCGAGCAAGTTATCTGAATTGAAAGGTTTGGTTTTTGACTGTGGGCTTCATGACTTGGCCTCTGTTGGGCTGTTGTATACTTGGCATAACCAGCGTTCTAATCATCCTATTCATATTAAATTGGACAGGGTTTTAGTGAATTCTGACTTCCTTAACCATTTCCCCCAAGCTCACTACAAGATCACTGCCCCTGTCTGCTCTGACCACGCGCCTCTCTTCACTTCCATCACTTCCCCGAATGGCCTTCCTTGCCGCTTCTTATTTAAGAATTATTGGACTTTCATGAATGGCTTTTGGGATGATGTGCTTACTGCTTTCTCTGAACCTTTTCTAAAAGGCCCTATTTGTCACCTTCAGCACTGCATTAAGGTTCTAAAAGGTTTATTAAAGAATAGAAGCTGGACTTCTTCCAATTTCCTTTCTAACAGCATCTTGGAGCTTAAGTGCAATCTTCAAATTTGCTTAGACAATATTCAAATCTGACCTCTGGATTCCGCCTTGAATCACTCTCTGAAAGATATTAATAACAAACTTGCAAGCCTTCAAGCTTCTTGGACCTCTTGGGTCTGTCAACGTGCAAAAACAAAGTGGTTGACTCATGGTGAGAATGATCTGGGTTTTCTTTATGCTACTATTCGGGCTAGGAAAAATCATAACAATGTGTATGAGATTTCTGATGACAATAATACTCACTCGACCCATCATGATATTGCTGCCTCTTTCATACAACATTTCAGAAAGCTTTTTAATTCTCCAAAGACCAGCCACTTCTCTCCTCCTTTTATTAACAGTGGCAATTGCATTCCCATGGATATGGTTAATGATTTGGTGGTTCCGTTCACTTTTGCTGAGATTAAGAAAGTGGTTTTTGAGGGGAATGACTCCTCCTCCCCTGGTCCTGACGGTTTTTCTTTTGCTTTTTACAGAAGGACTTGGCACATTACGGGGCCCTTTATTTGTAAAGCTGTGATGGAATTTTATAACACTGGTTATATGCCTAAGGGGGTCAAGGCCACGGTTTTAGCTCTAATTCCTAAAGGGACCCATATCTCTTCCGTCTCTGACTATAGGCCGATTTCTTTGTGCAATGTGTTTTATAAAATTATGGCCAAGCTGGTGGCCAACAGATTAAAGGTTGTTCTTCCCTTTATTATTCATGATAGTCAATCCGGTTTCATCAAAGACCGTTGCTCCACTGACAATATTCTTCTAGCCTCTGACATCCTTAAAGGCTTTAACAACTCTTTCTGTGCAAAACTTGATATTTTCAAAGCTTTTGATTCTGTTTCCCATGATTTCCTTTTCCAAAGGCTGATCCAGAAGGGTTTCCCTAGTAAGTTTATTAAATGGATCAAAGGTTGCATTGCCAATGTGTTCTTTTCTATATCCATCAATGGCTCATTAAATGGTTTTTTTGGCTCCTCGAATGGTCTGAGGCAGGGATGCCCTTTATCCCCATTGTTATTTTGCATTGTTATGGATGGCTTTTCTTGCACTCTGGAGAATATGGTTCCTCCTTTTATCGGCTCTTACATCAATGACTGCAAGATTACTCACCTTCTCTATACAGATGATGTATTGGTTTTTGGCAAAGCTTCTTTTGATAATGCTACTACCGTTGCTAAGGCTATTTCTATCTTCTCCAAAGCTTCTGGTCTTGCTGTTAACTACACTAAAAGCTCTCTTATTTTCTCTAAGGATGTGTCTGCTCCTCTTTCTGTGGGGGAGATTCTTGGTATTTAGAATTTGAGCTCCTTTCTCACTTATTTGGGCATTCCTATTGCTGCCAGTCGCCTCAATTTTTCTCACTTCCAACCACTCCTGAGTAAAATTTATACTCTACTTGATGGTTGGAAAGTAAAATTTCTGTCTTTTGCAGGTAGGGTGCAATTTATTAGATTTACTATTGCCAATACTCTCACTTATTGGATTAGGGGAGTTATTCTACCTAAAGGATGCCTAAAATCTATTTCCAGATTATGTCCTAAATTTCTTTATCATGGCAATATTAATGATAAGAAGCTCCATTTAATTGCGTGGGATAAAACTGCTTTACCAACTCAATATGGGGGTTTGGTATACCCTCTTTTGAGGCTCTTTGCCATGCCAGTCACTGCTCGTTTTTGTGGAGATACTTTACTAGGGATAATCTGGCTATGTCTTGGTTTAGAAATAGATACCTTTCTCCGTGGAAGCCAGTTAACTCTTTGGACTCTAGGTTATGGAAGAAAATTCATTCGGTGGCTCTTTTGGTTAAAAGCAACTTTACTTTTCAGATCTCTCGTGGCTGCAATTTTTCCATGAATTGGGATCCCTGGTGCAATGGAAATTCTCTTATGGATTTTCTTCCCTCTTATAAATTTGAGAAAAAATTTGTGAATTGTTATACTAATAGCTCTGGCTGGGCTCTACCTTCCTCTACCCCGCTTGCTCTGCGTTTTGAACTTTCTGGAATTAATTTTGCAGAGCAACCGGCTACGGCCTGGGACGGCTCTGTTTCCCCTACCTTTGCAACTTTTTATCTTAGTTATTTTAAGCATCTGGTAGAAGTTAATTGGCATTCTTTTCTTTGGCATAAGAGATATTCTTTGAGGTATTCAGCTTATGCTTGGATGGCGGTACTTGGTAAGCTTAAAACGGTTGATCAACTGAGGCTAAGGGGTATCGACATTCCTGCTGTTTGCTATTTTTGTGATTCTGGCAATGAATGTCACTCTCACCTTTTTTTTGGTTGTGACTACTCTTTCACTGTCATTTGCACTCTTCTTCCGGAGCTGGGTGCTTTTCTTATGAGGCCTAACCTGATGCAAACTTATGATTATTTTGGAAGCTCTTCCCATCTTCCTAACTGGGAAAAATATCTCTGTTTTTTGGTGATAAACTGCACCATTTATTTTGTTTGGAGGGAAAGGAACACTAGAAGATTTGATAATGTGTGGAAAAGCCCAATTGAGATTGTTGCTTACATTCGACATGCTCTTCTTGCCAAAGTTAAAAACTGGAAGAACTTCAATGACCTTAAAGGCCGTTTTGAGCTAGATTCTCAACTAAATTTTACAAGTTACAGATCGGTTTGGTGAATTTTGCGGGCGATGATGATCGTATTGCCTTTTTGCCCCTTGGACGGCAGGGGTAGTCTTTTTTTTTTCATGCTATATGTGCTCACTGATCTTTTCATGACGCTGCTTCTACAACCAGGGGATGTCGCCTTCGTTCGGCAATACCCTGAGCCCGATTTTGGTCGACTTCACCAGACTTTCTTTATTCAGTTCTCTTGTATTTTTGTTTACTTCCATTCTTTTGGAAGTCTCTGCTTCTGTTACAGATTTTGTTTTTTCTTCACATGTAACTAGTTTTCAGTTTTAATGAAATTTGGGCTTTCTGCCCTCTAATTTCCCAAAAAAAAAGAAGATTGATACATTTTTTTAATAAATTTAAGTAAATTAATAGTTTAACTATATATTCTTTATAATTTTATATTATTTATAATTAATTTAAAATTTGGGAGATTATGATATTTATTAATTTATTTAATCTAAATATAGTTCAAAATTAAGAATTAATTTAATTATTTCAAATAAAATAACCTTAAGTATAAAAACAATTTATTTGAACTCAATTTAATAATAAAAAAAAATATTAATTTTGTATTAAATAATAAGATAGATATTGATATATCTATTCTTTTTTAATGGAAATGCATATGATTTTAAATGTATTTTTATAAATTTTCATTAAAAATAAGTCTCTTACATTGAGTAAAAATTAGATTTTGAGTATAAGTTAATAATTAATATTAATTTGTGGCTTTGTGCTCCCATACCAAAAGTTTTCTGGCTCCACCCCTGAATAAGAATCATGTCACACCCCAATATCAAAATTTGAAAAAATCGCCTATTTAACCTTTAATTGAACTACCAAAGCTATTAATAATCTATCAATATAATTTAGTCAAACGAAGAAACTAATACTCATATACATTAAAATATAAAACTATGATCATTCATTAAAATTTATGTACAATAATAAGGAGTTTCATCATTGCATCAACAACATCAAGCCTTTATCCCACTATGTGGGGTCGGATACATGAATCCTTTTTCTCCATTGTGTCATGTTAAAAGTTAAATTCTCATTTAAATTTAATAAGGAAATTTCATTTCTAATATTTTCTAAGTCTTTTTAGGTCCACCTCTACCTTTCTTAACATAAGTCTCTTATACATCTACTTTTTTAATCGGTTCATTAGGAGGTCATCGTTTTGTGTGACCAAACCATCTAAGGCGACTCTCTCTAATCTTATCTTCCATTAGAACTACTCCTTTCAATTATATGCTCATTTTGAATATTATCTCTAAGAGTAAAGCCACTCATCTCCCTGAGCATCCTCATCTCTACAACACTTAAATTAGCATTATGTTTGTCCTTTAATGGCAAAAATTATGCACCATAAAGCATTGTAGGTCTAACCACCATTTTTTAAAATTTTTCCTTAAGTTTGAGGGGGACTTTTCTATCTCACAATAAGGCTGATGCATTCCTCCACTTCAACCATCCAACTTGAATTCTACTAATAATACCCCCCACTACGGGAAAACACGCGATTACCGTCAGATTTTCCGGCGAAAAGTTTTGCACCGGTACGAACGGCGCAGGTAACGGCGGAATATTCCTAAATATTGCGATGGAAACCTTACGACGCATTTGCCGGCGCAAAATACGATGGAAACATTCCGGCGTCCCCATACGCCGGTATATGCGTCGGTAAAACTAGCTCTGAACCAATACCGTCGCACGTTACAGCGGAACTATACCGGCGCAAATTACCGACGGATCTTGCGCCGGCTTATTTAAACTCAACGACTTAATTCCGGCGCCAATTGCGTCGGTAATGTTTCCGACGTAACGTGTGACGGAACGTCCGCCGGTGAAAGCCCTATTTTTCGACACCGAGCCCCTCTGGCCGCTCATTCGTTTCCTTCCGTTCTCTCACCTCGCGTGTTTCGCCCGTCGCCGTCTGTCGCTCGCTGTTGATTGACGTCGCCGATGGTCACCGGAATTCGCCGTCGACAGTCTCCAGACTTCGCCGAGCATCATTTCCTCTCTTTCCTGCTCGCGCGCCGCCGAGGGTTGCTCTTCGCCGACGGAAGGTATTTTGTTTCGTTTTTTTTTCCTATTTCGGTTGGATTACATATAGGATCAGCCTTAAGTCCACCTGAGGAGGAGTCCACGGAGTCAGAGTAGTTTAATTTAGTTTATATGAACTTGTTTATTTCTGTGAACATGTGTTATTGAACAGTTTCTTTTAATGTGATGTTTTTGTTGATTGTTACTATTGAACAGTTTCTTTTAATGTTATAAACTGTTGTGAATTTGTTATAAAATGTTGATCTGTTGAAATGTTACTATTGAAATGTTGTGGAATTGATATTTGTATATGTTTGCAGGTGTGGAAATTTGATTGTTGGTTGGGAAGGCAATTTTTTTTTGTCAATGCTACAGGTTTCCGGCGGATTTTACACCGGAACTTCACCGGAAATGACGATACAACGAATTGTATCGAACGTATCGACGCTTTTGATCCGTCGGAAACTACCGGCGCTTGTTCCGGCGTAATGTCCGCCGCTTATTTCCGGCGACGGCTTTGCGACGCAAACATAACCGTTGGTTGTCTGCGGCGAACTTGCGGCGTTTTGTCCGCCGGTAATTACCGGTGCAAGATACGACAGAAACTTACCGGCATATATGGCGCTGGAATTTATCGGTTGGAAGTCATCGGCACCAATCTGATGTTTTGCACCGGTACTGCGTCGGTAAGTGCGCCGGAAAGTTTTCTGGTGCATTAGTTGTGTCGGAAAAAATTTATCGACATGACCAAAACCGGCGTATGCATTTCTGCCGAAACGTGCGCCGGAAACTTATAGTTCCGTCGGATTGTCTGCATGTTCCGGCGGATTTTGTCTGCCGGTAATGACGGGTTTTCCTGTAGTTCCCATCTATTTCACAATTACTCTGAACAATAGACCCAATATATCTAAAGCATATACTCTTATTAATGACGATCGCCCAAAGTCAGAATCTTCCCACAAGAATTATTATTACTAAAATTACACTATATATATTCAATTTTAGATCAACTCAAACGAAAGGCTTTTGACTCTAAGGCTGACCTCCAAAATTCAAGTTTACTTTCAACTCCCTCTCTAGTATTATCAACAAGAAAAATATCATCAGCAAAAAGCATACACCATGGTACAAACTCTTGCAAATGTCTAGTGAGAACATCCATGACTAAATCAAAAAGATATGGGTTTAAGGCTGATTCCATCAATGCATCAATCAATCTATTTTTCTACTTTTGATTGCAAAAGAATAAAATAAAGTACAAAAATAAAGAAAAACTTGAATTGTGAGCAATATCTCTCTACCGGATTGACACCGCGCTAACCTGAAATAAATAACATCAACAGAGTGAGCTAACAACCCAGTAGGTTACCAGAACTTAATTACCACTAATGCAAGAAAATAGAAGCAGTATGCATGTAATCATTCAAACTGAAATAATATGAACATGTAACTGTAATATCATGTAGCAGTCACTATAAACAATATCAAGTCATATGAGCAATAATAATTTGTATATCTTATAAGTAGTGATCATTAATAATCAAATAAAGAATTAGTAGGTTTCATCATTTATATACCTATCAATCACAAAGCAATTTAGTCCATATATCCATTTAGGAAATCCGTACACCTGTTATTATCATGTGTATACAAAATGAATAAATATAAGTAATATAAGCAACGTAGGACACCTGTCTATTTGTGGTGTTTTTCTTGAATCTAGTCATGTAGGTTAAACCTACAGAACCAGACTCAGTTATATAACTCATACTTATAAGAATCAATCTCATATCACACATGACAAGTTAGTCAGGTGTCTTTCATGTAAGAAGTCATCACTACTTGCTCGTCGGCATATCATGTCATATCAATCAATCTCCTAAAATATCTCTTTTTATATCATTAGGATTACACCATAAACCTTTTATTTTAAGAAAAGCTCATTGGCTCACTCTCATGTAACATATCTCCAGCCAACCTGAAACACTTAACTATTTCTAGCAAGCCTTTCTTACCCATTTTCACACATTACATTATATGAAGAATAATAGCAGTATCATATACTCATAATGCAGAAATTAATATACTAATCAATTAATATGCATATAGACTTAGCCAAAAATATATGTTGGTCTAAATGAATAGTAAATATGTGTATATAGTAAATATGTCTAGATGAGGGTGAAATTGGTTTAGCTAAGCATGTCTACAATTACAAAAAATATATTCATAAATTAGTTAAGCATCTTAACAATGATATGGTGAAATTAGTTTGCAAAATGAGCATCTAATGATCTAAAAAACCCCACTTGTACCGACATATATTAATTTTCTAATAGTAATAGTAAAATCGTATTAATTTATAGTGTTAACAGTTATCCTTCATTGCTTATGCAAATGCCACATTTATCTTATATCAATCATATCTTTGTCATTGTACAAGGCAATATAATGAATACTATACAATAAAATGCTTAAATATATAAAAGTCAAGAAAATCTATATAATATCCCATAATTCTCATTACTTCAAAAAATCACAATTTATATTCTACTTGGTGAAATTCAATAATATTATTGTCAAAATATCCATACTTATTATATCTATCGTTTTTAAAAAGTTACACGTTAAAAATTTGATAAATCAGAAGAAAATATATTTTTTATCAATTTATGAGAGAGTAAATCTATTAAACTCAAAATAATTGAAAACTAAAATGATATTTGAGTTATATATTGTAATAACTCGTATCTTAACCTATGTAAATATTTTTTTTTTCTGGAGTCATATAACTCCAAATCTCAAACAATCTTCAACAAAGCGTTGTTGTTGTAGTATTTTACTTACACAATTTTTTTTGTAATTTTTTAGCGATGGTGAAAATCCTTAAAAAATGATATATGTAAGGATTTTGGGACCGTTAGGTATCCATCTTGTAAACCGTTTCACCAAT